AAACGTTCTTTTCTATTTCATCATTCTTGGACATCTCAAAACAATGAGGGAACATCTCTATTTATAGATCCTAACTATGACTAATTCTAATCTACCTAGGAAACATATTAAAGCAATAAAATATTAAATTCCTAAACATTCTAGATATTATTGTGCAAGAAGGAAACTAAATATATCAAAGTCCTAAATTGACTAGATCTTGATCTTGCTTGGCTTGCACTCCAAACAAATCATCCACACGCCCAAGTAATTTCGGCCGCCTCATACGTCCTACGCGTGCGCGCCACCTTTCGCACGCCTAGTCCTCGGCGGTTTCGGTCCCCGCGCGCACTACACGCGTGGCCTTTCGCGCGCGCGCCCTGCCCGTCGCCTTCCTTTTGCGCGTGTGCGCTGCCCCCTTTGCCTATGCCTACCGCGCATAGGCATGCGCCCGTGCTGCCGTCCCACTCGCGTGCCATCGCGCGCTCCTCTTGTCCATCGTTCGCATCCTGCGCGTGTGCCCCCTCGCCCGACATTCCTATGCCCGCAAGGACACGGTTTCCGCCCGCGTCGCTGGTACTCGCGCGCTCCCCGCGCGCCTCGCCCCAGCTAGCCAACCTGCACGCGTCTTCGCCAACGCTCCAGCCCCAATCGCCTACGGCGCACCCCACCGCGCCTGCTCCTTCGCGCGTCGCCTCTATCGCCCGCGGGCTCCGATCATCCCCTCCGTTAGCGGACCGTTCACCCGCGCGCCCCGCCGCTACGCCCCCGAACGCCAACGCGTCCCAGTCGACGTCCGCGACTCGCCCGCCAATCGAACTCCCGCGTATATCGTCCTGTTCCGTCCACCCGCGCGCATCATGGGCCGATGCGCGCCATTCGTCCATGAGCCGATCGCCGTCGCCCTTTTCGTCGGCGATCGCCACCGTTGGTTCGGGCCATGGATCCCAACCTTTCAACCTCTCACAATCCTCCGCCGGTATCCACCATCCGCCTTCGACCTTTTGCAAACCACGCCTTCTAGCCTCCTTCTTTCGTGCTCGTCTCTTCTTTGTACAAGGCTTACACCAACAATATGATTCTTTGGCTTTGCGTTTCCTTTGAGCTCTTTTGGTCTTGCGCTTCTTGATCTTCAATTTAGCCCGTGGACCACATCCTTCCGGCCAGTCTCGTACGCATGGTGGTCGATAAATCGGACTAGATGGCTCCTCCAACATGTTCTCCAACCAAATATCGAGACCATCGTCCTCTTCCTCGTTGGACTCACCGGGGTTGATGACCACTTCCGTATCACAGTCGCACCCGCCAGTGCCGAGTTATGCCCAGCCATGCGCAGGCCGGCGCTCGGCAGCTCCCAGGCCGTGCCAGCGCACGTGCACGACCGTGCCAGAGCACAGCAGTGATGCGGAAGTGGCTAGGCAGCTCAAGAACGCTGCGAGCCGGGCATATCACGCACGCAAAAGGCTGGCCCGAGAGACGACAGAGGTACGCGCACTGGAGCGTAGTGCGCGCGGGGCAAGCAAAGAAAGGTTGAAC